TATGTGCTGCCCCTATTCTTGCCTACCCACAGCCAGGAGAGAAATTCATTGTGGACACAGATGCAAGTAATGTCGGAATTGGAGGAGTTCTCTCTCAAGTACAGGACGGAAAAGAGCGTGTCATAGCTTACTTCAGCAAGACGCTAAACAAAGCAGAGAGAAACTACTGTGTCACCCGTCGAGAACTACTTGCCATAGTGAGGACACTTGAATACTTGAATACTGCTGCAACAGCTGTTTATATGCTCTGAGAATCATGGAGCCCAGTCTAAAAGTAGTTCACTGGCACAGCACTGTGCTTAGAAAAAGTAGCTTCAAGGGGTTAATATATTGTCACATGTTGGGTATGTGTGATGTGACAAATAACTTCACGCCGTTTTGGATCTAGCGAATTTATCGCACATTCGCTCTTACGCTTACACAATGCACAATTTCAATATTACTGCCATCTGCAGTATCACAATTACTTCTCCTGCTGTAGTCACTGCAATTCACTCGATACAACTCAATAACAACTTGTGGCTGCTGGACTTCCACTGCGCTTGGTGACTGCTAGACTTCCACTGAACTCCTTAGTCAAAGTCAAATTGTGACTGACGGTCAGTCAGTCAGTAAGTCTTGGTGTCGTGCACCATTTGGTGCTCATGACCAGATATTAATTATTACCGTTTGACAGTTACGGTCTTGTTTCTGTGGGGCGCCTTCTCTGACAAGAGGACGGGTCTGTCTTTTATATATGCTGCTGGTCCTTACCAGCGCAGTCTTACTCGGGTCCGAGTCCCTTGGGACTCGCGACTCTATTTTACTGTCTCAGAATTGAGACTTCCCTTTTCGTCGCCTCCTACGACTCGCAGGGTCACGGTGGAGGTATTCGACCCCGCCTCCACACGGGAAATCCTGAACTCCTTAGGCATTCCAGTTTCTCTTACAAACCATCAGCTGGACAGCGGAAAACGCACCCCGCTGCCCTGTTGTGTAATCACTGTGTTTACAGATTGCCTGGCAACAGTTGTTGCATGGACTTACCTGTTGACGTCACAGCCTAGCAGGGAGGGGTGTTTACCAAGCATTGTGTAGTGATGGAAGGAGTGGGGGTACGTGGCGTTACTCGCGGAAACGCAGGGTTCACATGAACCCTACTTCCTGTTGCACCATCCACGTTACAATATTTTAGTGGATATCTTGCAACATATGCACTTGAGGGACAGTAATTCATACCAGAGCACCAACTCATGTTCAGTCAGTTTTCAGATTTATATATATATATAAAAAGAAGAAGAAAACATTAGAATATTGTTGCAGAGGTTAACAGTTCATCATCAAATGCTGTCTATAACAGAGCATGTTTCATACAAAATATGATGTGAGGTTGGCAATACATAACAGTGCTGCCACCATCTCTATCTCTCAGTTCCTTAATATTCTGCAATACATTTGCTGCTCTCATAACTTTCTGACAGGCCCTCATGAAAGTGCCAAGACACTGTTCACCTGCCTTAAGGAAGGAGATGACCAGGTTCACCGGCTCACCGTCCTGTAGTGGTGCATGTCAAGCTGGTAAAGTACTGTGTTCTTTCAATACCAGTACTGAAAACCCAGTCAAAACCTGGAGATTCCAGCCTTGTAGTGCTGGGGGATTTAAAATCCCATATTTCCAGGTTAAAATTGTGTATCCATTTTTAATTGATGACATTGTTATAATGGCTAATTTTTAAGACAAATTAGCAGTTCTGACAAAAGAGATTGGTACCGTAGTAACATTCTTATAGACATACCTACGAGCATTTCAGCTGTTTTGACTGAGTTGGGTGTTCCTTTGTTTTAGTCGGTTTCCAGACAAATGCAAGAAATGAGAGGACATAAAGAGTGTCGTTATCTCACAATGAAAAGCAAATTAGCTACAAACTACTGTGAATGCCTAAAGATTTCTATGCTTGACCTTTTACAAGTATTTCTGGTTTGATTACACCTTCTTACTCTCATGCACTCATATGAATGTTAATATTGAGATTACGGGAATTATGTGAAGGGCATTACAGGTACAAACTCTAGTAAATTAGTACATAAACAAACTGAATAAGATACAATATAATTACCTTGCTTCTTGCTCGATTTATCTTTCAGGACTTTATCCACCATATTAATTATGCTGGGTACAGTTTGGCCTGTTAGGGAATTATTATTCCTTGCACGTACTACGGCAACACTTGAGGCCAGCTCTTCACTGGAATTATCAAGAGGAACAAAAACATCAGAGCTATAAATACAAGGATGTTGTATATATCCTGCTGGCAGCGTTTAAATTTTCATAACATAACCTCAGTTGAAAGCTGGCCACCAGCCCCAGAGAACTTAAGATATTTATATGTAATTTTTTTAATGCTAGTGGGGTGGGACAAAGTCCCTTGTACTGCGGCCACTTCCGGCCTATTGTACCAGCCCCAGATGATAGGTGAGGGTGATTGTGGAGCAATTGGTGGAATGAAGATTGGCAGGGGAAACCGAAGTACTCGGAGAAAACCTGCCCCAGAGCCACTTTGTCCACCACAAATCCCACTTGACCAGACCCGGGATCGAACCCGGGCTGCTGCAGTGAGAAGCTGGCGACTAACCGCTTGAGCTATGGCGTGGCCCAAGATTTATATGTAAGTGGAGCTTAATCGACTGTTGTGGATTCTGGAAATTTACGAATAGTCCATTTCTCATGAGGATTCCTCCTCTATGTAACTACAGTTTAATGTGGGCTCCAAAGAGAAGATAGTGAGACTGACAACCAGCTAGCTAGGCACAAACTCCAACTTTCCATTAAGGAAGAAAAGGAGGATACTTCTATTCAGCTATGACTAAATGAAAGTAAAATGCAGCTGTAGTATGAAAATGTACAAATGGATAGAACACAGCATTTACTTACTCCGTTTTGGTTGGGAAGTGTTTGCGTAGCTCCTTCATAAGTTTCTGGTAACTGCCTGTCTTAGGTTTTGGTGCTGATGTATTATTAGAACTTGGTTTAACAGCAGAGGCTGTAGGGCTGGAAAAACAATGCTCCATTTTTCAAATCAGCATCTATAAAAGGCTGCATTCCAGTCTGAATAGAAAGACTGCAACAAATGTGACTGACACAGCCCTGCAACACAACTACTCTTGCTTAGATCACAAGAGAAGCCACTGAAACAGGGTCCTGAATATTTGCATATGCTTTACTGAAGCAATAATTTTGAATTCTCAAAAATAAATGCAGCATCACTAAAGTAACCATCTGGACGCAACAAGTCAATGAAATAACCATTTACATGGAACAAAAGTCAATCCCAGTCACTCAGCTAGTAGGGAAATCACTGCTTTTTGTGGAACTCAAATGACTTTAATTTATCTTAAACATGACGAACTAGCCCACTACATTGCCTTTACAAAAAATGGAACAAATTTTAACTAAACAATGCAAAAGCCTTTCTGAAGAAATTACTGTGTTAACTCACGTCTCTGATGGCATCTGCAATGGAGGCTTTGGTGCATCAGAAGGGTTCGACATCTGGAGTACTTTCTGTTTTGATATGTCAACTGATGATGCTGCAGAAGAAGAACCTTTGGGTACAGTTTTAATACCTAACCCCTGGCTTGCTACTGTAGGAGACGTACTTGGTGTTGGCACAGTTTTAGTAATTTCAGCTGGAGTAAACCCTGAGGCTGGTGAGGGTGACTTCTTTTTCTCAGGCACTTCTCTACTTCCTAATGGTGGCTGTGATTTGCCAGCCACACTTGCAGCACTGGTTGGAATTTTAGTGAACTCTGTGAGAATGACAGCTGATGCAGGCTTTGGTTCCGCTTGTTGCTGCACTGGAGGCTGAAATGATACAAAATCAAAAAGATAAACTAACACAGGAGTATATAATACTGCATCAAACATGGAGAATGAATATAAAATTAAGCACTAGCTGCCAGTGTGGTATATGTCAGATTTTTGAAGGGATGTAATTGCTCATTATAATTAAATAATTATGATGTATCGAGGTTTATGGCAGCTATTTAAAAACGTAGTCTATATTACAAGAAAGGGGGATATGTAGATGGTTGCGTTCTTGCTGTTAGAGAATAGGACGAGTTGTCCGCCTACTTCCTGGAGCTACACATGTTCCAAGCAATTTGTGTCATGTGTGAAAATGTGACTTGATATTGTCACATATATTAGCGACTAGAGGCAGGTTTTAGATTGGCTGTGGTCTAGTGGTCAAGTGGTCAGAATTCCCGGGTTCGATTCCTGGCGCTACCAGATTTTCTGAGAAGTAGTGGGTCTAGAACGGGGTTCACTCAGCCTCGTTGGGATAATTTACAAGCTATTTCAAGGAAATAGTGGTCTGGTTTAGAAAACTGAAATTAACAGCTGTGGGGATCCATTGCGCTGACCAAATGACACCCTCTATCCACTAAAGTTGGCACTAACTTTGCCGACAAGTGGCAGGTGGTTGCTCGGTCGGTATAGTTCGCTTGCGGACTCGAGCCACAGAGTTTGTTTGTTTTCTTCTATTGTATCTTATATATTCATGACTCAGGACTTCGGACAATACAGTGCTATTGCTATTCTACACACTTTCCAGTTCACCACTGCACATGTACTTGGATTCTCAGTCTTCACTAGTCATATCCTGGCAACGGATTTATAACCGTCTCACTGTAACTTCAAATCACACATGAAGCCTTCTTTGCACCACCTAATTCCTTTCTTGCCACTATTCTGCCACTGCCAATTTTGAAGTCTCGACCATGCCAATGAGGGATGTTTGGAGGCTGGATCTTTTTATGGAAACATTCATTATGTTCAAAAGATATGATTGTGTTTCTTTGTTTGTGTGTGTGTGTGCTGGCCTCCATTTCACAACTACACAATATTCACACTGAACATAACATTACCCACAACAAAAACATACCTTGTCACTCCCCATAGAAGACAAAAGTGTATTGGGTTGGAAAGGTGAACTGAAAATGGTAACTGGAGGGGCCGGCTGCATTGGCACTGGCATTTGTGGATGACCTAAAGTGAGAAAAAGAAGAATAAGAACACTCTTCTTTAATACAAGTACAGTCTGCAGAAGAGTGAAGACACTGCACAGATTTTCCCTCGTATCAGTCTACTTTCTTAAGTCCACTGCCTGTACAGATGATTCATATTTAATCAAAACCGCTCAAGCCATTTTCAACAAACCTTACATTTAGCATTTAGGCTGCTAGGGAACAAACCATTATTTTTCTGAAGATACAGTCTTACTCCTAGGAGCTCAGCCCTTCCTGAGAAGCCACTAGTTGCTCAGCTACTCAAGATTTTCACAACATTTTATGGAATCCAAAGGTTCATTACCGTGTTTACAGCAGCCTGCTACTGATTCACCTTTCTTCAACCGTTCAGATGCTCCTAAGGTGCAGAAGCGCGCGCACACACACACACATATATGCACAGACAAAATTATAAAAACAGTTTTGTATTTGGAGCTGCTTAAAATGTGTAAATCCATATATATATATATTGCAATCAATTTCTGTTCATGATTGCAATACATTTTCATATATACCATCTTTATGAGATGTTTGGCATATGAGAAACTTGCAGCACCTGAACATGACCAATTTGAGGGTGAAACATGTAGTGTGTGCTATATAAATAAATAGAAATCATTATTTACAATTACCAGCCATAAATCTATCGGGAAACACATTTTTAGTGTTGCACCACTAAACACAAGACTGGTTGCTGCATATGTATAATACAGGCAACTATAATTGGTGGTTTTATGTTCGCTAGTAACACCTCGCTAAACTTTCCATGATGAGCCTTTCTAAAATGCAGGTATCAGCAAACTGACTCACACCCCCCCTTGTGAGAAAAGTCTGTGAGAGTGGACTCAACTGAGTTTCTGGCACAGTCTAAATTCAGCAGCCCCCATAAAAGAGCGTGACGGTACTGTACATCTGCTTATTACGCAACAGTACAATCTCACATTAACAACAATGGCTACAGAGTATAAACTCTGAAAATCTCTATTAAATTTTGTTTCCCTGCTTTGTTCTTAGTCTTCATCATTCTGAAACATTCTTCTAAGCACTCTGTTCTTAAATATCCTCATATCACGTCCTTTATTTACAATGGCAGACCAAATTTCACACCCATATCAGGTATCATGGAATAATACTCTCACTTTTGATGTCTTGTTCTTAAGAACTTAACAAGACACATGAGTATATGCTAGATAACGAGATAATGAATCTTATCAATGAATAGAGGAAGTACCTGAATATTTAAATCAACGAAGTCATGCTCTTTCATGTGTGGGTCCACATGTTATAGACTCCAAGCGTCAGCTCATTAAACAGTCAACAATGCGGAAACAACCTCCACATTAACATCAGGTAAATACAGTTTATCCTTGATTTAATGGACTAAATGAAGGGGGGGGGATATATTCTAATTTGTATGTTTTAGGCAGCAGACGAGAAGACAAAAAGGTTCTGGACTGAATGATAGCAAGCATTACCCAAGTTCAATCTCCTCTTAATTTCCTCCTCAATCAGGTTTTGATTTGTCATTGTCATCCCCAAATACCTGAACTGTGCCACATTTTCAAAAGAACTGTTTTCTATCTTTATGTCATGATTTTGCCCTGAATTTTGGTGACAAGACAGCAACATATACTTAGTTTTCTCTGTGTTCACTTCTAGACCAACTTCCTTACTAGCTTCAATTAAAGTTTGTGTGCAACAATGACCTACATCTGTGAATTTTAACACAACATCGATTTTAATATTTTATGGAAACTTTTAAATACTTGTTTTTATGTATGTGAATTGTAAAGTTTCCTCCTAATATGTACACCCCTGAGAATGGTCTCATGAAACCAAACATGTCGGGATATTAACAACATGAGAAATAAACCCAGTTTACTTAAATGATGATTCACATCTGACTAATATAGATAGCATATCCAAAAAATTAACTCTATCAAAACATACCACATTAACATTATGCATTTCAGAACACACAGGCACTTACAGAAATAAGGTGAACTCGGCAACGCAGGCTGATATCCATAGCCCTGTGTGGAATTCTGGTATATGGGCACACCTATCAGAGGATTAACTTGAAAAGGTGATGCGAAATAAGCGCCTGAATTTATATTCTGCTTCAAGCCCTTCTCTTCTGACTGCATCAGCTGTTCAGGTGTTTTTCCCGCCTTTGCTTCTCCCTTTGGATCTGAGGGGCCCAACTGCTCCACCGCCTTATTCATTTCCTCCACTACACCTGGCTGCAGCGCCGGTTCTTTACCGATTAAAGGATTTGTAACTTTTTTTTGTCTATCTTCTATTGCTTTCCCAAGTTTCAATCGTTGCTCTTCCACTACTGTGAGACCATTCAGAAACTTCAGTTGTTCTGCTTTCACTTGCAACATTTCTTTATCTTGAGTTATCAATTTCTCTTTCATACTCTCTACCTCATCCAATGCTTTCAGCATCACTTCTTCTAACAGGTCTAATGGACAACTGGGTTCTTTGGGCGGATCGGGCCATTCTAGTTTAATGAAGTCTGCCAGAGTAATGTTTCCTGATTTTTCATTCAATGATGTACAATGTACCTGGAAGAATTAGAAACATAATATCTACAATATCAAACATAACATAATATCTACAAGATCATACATAACATAATATCTACAAGATCAACGGATTCTCTCAATTCCACTAACGTTGGAGGGGAAAAACGTCCAGCTGAAACTTAGAAAAAATGTGAACACTCAGAATTACTGGGTTTTCAGACTTTGTCCATCATCCGGTATTCTAAAAACCAGAAAATACAATGTTTTGGAAACTGGATATGTTTCTGTCCTCAAGCGAAGGTGAAGACATTGGTCCACGGATTGAGGTTCGCTCTTGCTAAGGGACCCAATAGAGTCGGTTTCTCACCCGTCACGTGAGGACAGAAACGGACCCAGTTTCCAAAATTTTGCATTTTTTAGTTTTTAAAATACCAGACAATGGACAGTCTGAAAACCCAGTAATTATGAGTATTATACACCACTGTCAGAACCCTTTAGAATCTATACATGTACACACTTGCTGATATCATGTCACACAATATTTTTACACATTCATACATATAACTGCCAATTTCTCCCAACAGGGAACTGACCATCTTTCACTGATGAACTCTGTGATCTACAAAATTAATCTAGCATAATTATGATAATTAAATCTGTGGGAAGATGACATTAACTGTGGCTCTGAACATTAAGGCTTTATTAACAAAGTGTCAGTTTATTTCTTCATTAAATATGTACAAAATGCAACTGATTTCTATGAGGGTATAAAGAAACAGCTGATTTAAAATTGTCCAACATGCAACTAAAATTTAATTCTTAATCCAAAACAAAAGCACATACAGGGCACAAGTACCAAGTTTGTAATATGGCTATTAAGAGTTCTACTGCAAGAATGCAATATTTACCCACCAAAAAATTACAGATAATAAAGAGAAACAGTAATCATGCAACTAAGCAAAAAAAAAAAATATTATTAG